CAGGAAGTTCAATCACCTGTGGAATTTTTATTATGCACTTTCTTAATTAATTTCTGTGCCATCTCTGCCAAAAAAGGCCTTGGGTTGATTTGATAAAATATGTATTTTCCGTTGTAATCAACCAGTGACCTAAAGTAACCTTCTGATACAGGGATGACTCTGGAGTACAGCCTTCACCACAGCCTATCCAAGCTAAAGATTCAACAAAGAAAGGTTGGATATGCTCATTTGAAATTGGGTGTTGCTTTGAAGTACAGCATTTCTTGTTTGCCTTCCTGTTCATAGCTGCCAGCAAGCTTTGAATGTTCTTAAGCACCAAACGCTTTTGTTTCAACATCTGTATTTCCTCTTATTGAAAAAAAGGGGGTGTTTCACCCTTATTGCTCCAATCCTTCTCTACCCATTACAAGAATGCATGTATGAGTTTCCTGTCTGGTCTTAGATCTGTACTCTACTCCTAGTTGACTTGCAGAAATGTTAACATTTGTAATTTAACTTTTCTCCCAAAATAGAAACCTGGAAAACTAGCTAGTTTGCATTAAAATTTTCAGGGCACATTTTTATTGTCCCTGGCAGGGAGTGTTCCAAAGGACCAATAAACACTGTGGACCTTGCCTTCTGGGAGCAGAAAGACAGGTTCACTCCAATGGTTTCCTTCCATGGAAATCTTCAGCACCATTCCCTGTTGGCAGTGCCTCCATAACTGGTATGGGGAGAAACCAGGAGGCCGAATGAGGCTTTGAATCCATAGATCTAAAACTCCTAATGTCCCAGGGATATTGTTGCAGTGTGTGAGGAGCAGGACTTTGCTAATTCTGTAGTGGTTGTTTCTTTTCTTTTTTTTAAAGTGTTTCCAAAATAACCAAACAAAGCAAGAAAAAACAGAAATAGAATTGGCAAAAGACCTGCTTCGTACCCAGGCTGGTTTTTCTGCCATAGAATACAACCTTCAGACTTTCATAGGGTTGCGTTGAGATAAATTTAAGGATTTGGTACAGGAATTATGAAACTGCCGTTTTATGCCTTTCTGAGGCATCAAGTGTAAGGATGTGTCACTGGATATAAAGATCAAGGTCATACTTACTCTTGTATTTCTGATAATTATGTATGGGTGTGAAAGCTGAACAGTTAAGAAAACTCACAGGGAAAAATTGATTTGTTTGAAATGTGGTGCTGGAAGAGAGCTTTGTGGATACCCTGGGCTGCCAGAAAGACCAACAAGTGGGTCTTACAGTAAATCAAGCCTGAATTATCTTTGGGGGCAAAAATATTGGAACTGAGGCTATCCTACTTTGGGCACATCATGAGAAGGCAAGTTTTTCTGGAAAAGATAATAATATCAGGAAAGGTGGAGGCAGCAGAAGAAGGGGAAGACCCAGTATGAAATGGTCTGACTTCCTAAAGGAAGCCACAGGCTTGGGTTTATAAGAGCAGAGAAGAGCAGTTGAGAACAGGACATTTTGGAGATGGCACATTCATGGGGTCGCTCTGAATCAGAGGCGACTTGATTGCACATAATAACTTAAAGGAAGCCACAGGCTTGGGTTTATGAGCAGAGAAGAGCAGTTGAGGACTGGACATTCTGATCGCTCTGAATCAGAGGCGACTCGATTGCACATAATAACTTACTAAATGGAACAAATAAATGGAAATAAATACTATAATCAGAACAGTACTGTCCTTGATCAACACAGTACACAGTTTAAGGCTGTACGTTGGATTTTAGTGTCTGCTATTCAGTCTTCGAAGTGTAGAAATAATTATAAGAATCAATGTGACAACTTTGAAGAATTGAGTTGCAGTGAAATTTTGGAATGAGTTCCTGTTAGTCTTTCAGACATGTCACCCCATCCCATTTATAACAGTATTTCAGGCAGGCTATTGTAAAATCCTGTGTAACTTAACAAAGTGGGCAGGGGACTTGTGTTCTGATATAAGAAGGCATCTGTAAGACACATTCTGGAGCCCAAGCCAAAGGGAGAGCGCAAAGGAAACAAAACATACAAATATTTCATAAATGACAGTTGTTTAATTCACCTGATACAGCTTGGGAGAGTTGCAGAGTCAGTCCCTAAGGCAACCCTTGCATTAAACACCCTTTTAATTAAGGGATGGAGAACTTGTGACACTCTGCAGGGGTTGTTGGACTACTACTTCTATCATCTTCAGCAGTTGGATGAGAAACTCCTAAAGGATTTTTGAGTCCAACAACATTTGGAGGGCCCTGAGTCCCCAGCCCTACCTTAGGCACAATCTGTTTTTCAAGTCAACCCAAGATACCATGATGAGGAAATTATTGTTTGAGTTTTTAGGATAAATATATCTGTATTGAATTCAAAGAGAGAGGGTGTATTGAGAATATATTTGTCATTAATACCAAAGTTCAAAGCCCTCCACTGATTGATATTCATGATCTAAAAAGCTTCATCTTGGCTTAAAGTCGCTGATTGGTATGCAAACTATACAGTATTTTCAGACAAAAATGAATAAAGTCTGACTTGTCCATGAAATATTATACTTTTCACATTACCAAATGACAGTCTCCTTTACTTATTATGAGGTGCTACAGAGGTTGACCATGTATGGTAGGATTATCTTCTTTTTTCTTAGACAAAATATACACTTGGGTGCTTTGGGGGAGAAAGGCAGATTAAAAATATTTCAAATAAGTAATTAATTAATAAATGCTAAGAAGACAAAAGGATTATGAGAAGTAATCAGTACGGCTTCTGAATCTAGAGCCAGGCTGTGTCCATAGTTGCAGGATTTGTGCAGCAACCTTGAGAGTGAGAAGAAACAAGGGTCACATCTAGATCTTCCTCTGCCTGTATCAGATTTCTGTCTTCAAGCTTCCTTTCTCAGATTGCTTCTCACCATGATGCCTATATCACTTACCTTCAGTCTTAAAATACGTAGAATGAATTGGACTAAGAAAGCTGTACAGGTCATAGTTTTATAATTATATTTTATAAAATATAGGAGGAAAAATAAAAGCTAATAAGCAAAGCAAAGAGAATACATCCAATTTGACCCCCTCATTCCTCTTTTTCCTTTATGAAATGCTCTCAGGAATACTTTTGTCTCTTCAGCAAAAAAGTAACCGTACCACCAACAAGATATAGATTTAGTAGACATAAGCAGTTAGGATATTGCTGTCTCACTCCTTTCTCTGCATTGCATATTATTATTATTTAATTGATTTAATATACGTACTACAAAACATACAGCTAAAACACCAATACAGAGACAAAAATACACCCTCCTACTACGCTAAACCCTCCCCCCTTTGGAGTCAGAGACTCCAGCTTCGTTTGACTCTCTGTTCTCTCCAGCTGGGTTCCCAGTGTGAACTGAATACATATACCTATATAATCAAAATTGTCCTAAACTCCTGTCCTCCTCTGGGCCCAAAAATATATTAGTTTCCAGCTTTGTTTTACATAGTCTCTTGGTTGTTCCCATAAAGTTTCTGAGAGTGTGTCCAGTTCTACTATGTCACATAGCTTCTTTAACAACTCTTCTATCGTTGGGGTTTCTTTGCTTTTCCATTTTTGGGCCCAGAGTAATCTGGCTGCTGTGAGTATGTACATTAGACAATATTTCATTTCCTTATCATTGATTTCTGGCATGATATTCAATAATACCATTTCAGGTTTTAGATCTAATTTTTGCTGAGTAATTTCTTTCACTATTTCCAACACCTGTGTCCAATATTTTTTGACTTTTATGCATGTCCACCACATATAATAATAGGTTCCTGCATTTTTAACACTTCCAACCCCATTGCATATTATTATTATTTTTGATAGACCATCAACCAAGTGTTTTCCAAATAATTTCTTGTGCTGCAAAATATTTATTCAACTTTTCTACCTCTAATGTCAGCCTAAGGGGATCTAGCTAATTAGACATGTTAATAATGTGAGATGAATAGATCACACATCTGAATCCATTTTTCAGGGGGGCACAGTATGACAGTAATTATGAAAAGAAGCAACATATTATTTAATTTAAACATAGATTTTTCTTTTTAAAATGTTTCTATTACAGCTATCTTTAATACTGAAAAGATATAAAAATATGGGAAATGAATTATATATGGTAATTTAGCATGACATGACAAACAGAACAGTAGGTTAGGAAGCTATTTTTCTTATTTTGTGTTACATAAATTATGCTTTCTGACATTGAACAGTGATGATAAGATGAGCATTTTCCCTCACAAAAGAATATGAGAAAGCAATGACATAATAGTGAGTTACAAATATGAGAAAGAAAGGAATAGGAGGTGGGAAATTCCACTTGAATGGATAACAGACAGATTCAGTATACAAGTCACTTGTATATTGGTTATGTCGCAGCTTTCTGCATTTGGTGAGTTTTATTGTATATCTACTTACAGTACAATATACTAGTTTACATTAGAACAAGAATGTTCATACATTTTTTGGTGGTGAATTTCAGACATCCGTGGGGCCATCAAGCTCAGAACTTGTGCTGCTTCTGATAGAGGCTTTCTACGGGTACAGTCTTGCATAGCCTTGTTATACAAGATGTTGCTGAGTAAAGAGATCAGCCAGGGACTGAACCGCGGTCTTCTGTACGCAATACACATGCTGTACCACCATGTTAAAGGCGGTTGCTCCTCACTTTAGAAATCAAGATCCTTGTCTTGTTTTCTCAGAAATTATGAAAGGAATTACAAGCTCTCTATCATATCATCAAGCTTTCATCACAATATGTTCACTGTATTATTCAATTACTAATTTCACTAATTTGGTTTCATTACTAATAATATAATAATCATGTGCTGTCAAGTCAATTCTGACTTATAGCAACCCTCTTCGGGGGTTTTCAGATTGAGAATACTCATAAGTGGTTTGCCATTCCTTCCTCTGGGGGAACCCTGGGACGGTGCAGCTTGCCCAAGACCACACAGGCTACCTCTACTCACAGGAGGCACAGCGGGGAATCAAAGCCCCAACCTCTGTAGCCAGATAACTAAACTACTGAGCTATTCAGCCGGCTTTCAGTTTTATTAGGTTCATTCATTAATTTAATTCAAGACCAAAGGTTCATTTCAGTGTTGTTTGTAAGAAAACCCTGTGTAGAACCTTGTTAGACTGGTACACTGAGGTAGCAGTGTAGTATTATCAAAGTATTGCAGGAAGGAAGGTAGAACAATAGGCAGGCAGGGAGTGGAATAGCAGCTGAGGTGCCAGCTGTATTTAAACACTCTTTCTTATGGATTCCTCATATTTATTTCACACAGCTGGAAGAAACAGATAATTTAATGGCAGAACTTCACATGACTAATGTAATTACAGAAGCCCAGATTATTTGTAATGGAGAACAGGGAGGCAATAAGAGGCTCAGTAATAATATTAAATACATGCCACCAAGTTGATTCAGAGATATGGCAACCCTTTCCATGTTTTTTGTAGATACGAATACTCAGAAGTGCTTTATCATTCTGTTTGTCTGAGTACATCCCGGAACTGTGCAGTTTGCCCATGGCTACACTAGCTGGTTCTTCTCCTTGGGGGTTCAGCGCTGAATCAACTCCCAGCTTCTGGTGAGCTATCCATCCACAGATGACCTTTCTCATATTCAGCAATTCTCCCCAGCTTTCACATCAGCATTACATATACTACTTGCAGTTTTCAAGAAGTCTCTTGAAGATACCAGTTATAACATATTGAAGGTATACTCTAGGTTTCTAGGTAGGGTAGACTTTCAGGTCTTAGAATGTCACGAATCAACAGTTAAGAACAAACACCATCTGCTAATAATATGAAGTTTAAATGGAAAAAACAACACTACAAAACAACACAACAGTCTTCATTCTTTTCCAACTCCATTTATTCTGTCCATGTTTAAGTACTTCAATTGTAATTTATTAGCTTTTTTTTCTCAAGAGAACAGCCATTCTAAGGTAGTAGCTAAGATACAATTCACAAAATCTCCATAAAAAGCCTTAAGCGGTATTGAAAGATGATGAATGTTTTGCGTATAGACAGGTTCACCTAATTACTACATCATCTCTGTCTCGATTTAATTAAAGGGAAGCCATGCAGAGTAGCTTCTCCTTTAATTTAATTTTTTACAAGCTACAGATGTTATTAGTTTCTACACTGAAATTCCAGTTCTGCTTTGCTTATAGTTAAACATTGTGACATTTGTGTCAAGCTGTCAAATCAAACTGTCCAAGATGAATGGCTGAAAAAGAGAAAAGTATGATAATTGTGTAAAGTTTCAGTCAAGAACAATCTTCAAAATGCGGCAGATGCAGTAATCATGGCATGAGAACAAAAATGAATTGATTTTTAATACAGAATATGCTATAGCTAAGATCAACACAGACCACAAACCCACAACTAATAAGTCAATTGCTTACATTACAAAATTATTCTCAAATTCCCGGGATCAAACTCAAGTCACGAGCAGAACCTTCACTGCAGTACTGCAGTTTAACCACTATATCTAACCTGAACTCAGAAAACAGGTATGGTTTCTAGGCAATGGTTGGGAGTTAATGGTCCATGGGCAATTTCAGACATTCTTACAGGAAACTCACTTTCTAGACTGATTTTAAATCAAGGTTCAGTTTTCAGGGTCTGGAGAGCAACTGCCTTTATTGCCTTGTGACAAGACCTTTACAAAGAAAGGGGTAGAGGATTTTGGATTTTCTTAGACCTGACTGCAGTTTTCAGTGTCATCAATCAAAAATGCTCTTGGACTGGGTGTTGGACTGGGTTATGAGTAGTGGTGGTTCTACTTCTACTTCTATGGTAGTTCTCAAAAGAATTGTGGGGAGATTACTGATTTACCTAGGATTGGACAGTGTATCCCATTGACCATATGTAGCCCCAGAAGCATTTCTGCAGCCAGCCCACAAGGGTTCCCAAGAGGATCCCATTTTTTTTTAGTTTAAAAAAATTGGTTAACCCAATATTGTGATTTGAGACCTCCATGAGCAGCAGTAGAAAGAAAGAGCCTCTTAGCTTTTTTTTTTCTTTTAATGGGATCTGTGTGGCCCATGTTTGTAGCAAAGGCTACAAATTTGGTGCCCAAACCCACTGAGCTTGCCCATCCCTGCTTTCCTCCTTGGCAGTTATGCTATGGCATTCCACAGAGCTCTGTCATATCCCTGTCCCCTTTTATACTCTACATGAAACTACTAAAAGAGGTTATGTGGATATGTGGGCTGGACTACCAATATACCAAGAAATCTAGTTCTTTTTCATTAAATCCATGTAAAATAGTAATTGACAGGATGAAGACCAAGAGATTCAATCCAGACTATATCTTGGAACTCTGTTTTCAAAAATGAACTCAGTGAGAAAATCATTATCATTATCATTGCTCCACCCACAGACTAATCCTCTACAGTCCACATTATTGATGCATTATTAATCTTGTTGCTAGCTCTCCAGAAAAAAAAATCATGAAATACTCACAGTTCCCTCTAGCAGGCCAATTCTGATATTGCACCTCAAAAACATGTTGCAAACATACAACAAACGAAAACAAAATCGTACTTCTTCTGCCACTTAGGACTGCCAAGAAAAATTCCTAAAATATGCCCCTGTGAACACAAAGCAGGTGAAGAATAGCATTGCTAGTGATGAGAGGAACATGCTATGTCTACCCTTTTCTGTTGCCCCCCTATGAACTGTGATCATCTGCACTAGGCAGACTTTATGCACAGAGAATCTTCAGGTGATTACAAATTGTAATTTTCAAGGATTCCAAATTACGTGGAGAGCCTCCATGGAGAAAGAAAGCTTTCCCATTTAAAAAGTTGTAATCGACATGTAGAGAGCAAGAGAAGTACACAAGGAAGTGGAGGGAATTAGCTTCTAGTTCTCCTGCACACATCTACCAACCCTTTCACTTACTTACCCTGATTGGGAACCCCTAGAGGGGCTTATAATATACAACAAGGAGAGAAATATATAAAAAAGATTGTAGCTATATTGGATCAGCAACTGGAGGTTCCAGCATACAGTCTAGCACTATTTTTCAGGATTTTCTGGATAGATGGCTCCTAATGTTACCAATCAGTTTGGCCATTCCATATTCCATATTAACTGGTGTTTTGCGGAAAGGAAAAGAGAAGATAGGAAAAGAGAAGTGGTGAGAAAACGGAGTGCAAAAAGAACACTGAAAAGTCAGTGAAGAGAATATTGTCTTGACCTCCTGTAATATTCCATGAATGAGATTGAACAATTGCATTATAATATCTTCCTCTGGAAATATCATGAACTTTCAGTTACCAATCCCATGCAGAAGCAAAAGGAGGACTGTGAGCTGTATTTTGAAAATGGAAACTGGTAGCAAATTATGAGCAGGTGTTGGGATCAGGATCTTGGATCAATAGTGTCTCTTCTTGAGACACCATTATTGATAAAACCTGTTCTGATTTCTAGATATTCTCCCTCAAAATATACAGTAGTTTTGTGACTGGCACACCAGATTTTGTTAATAGGGAAATGCCATCCTTTCCCAACACAGCAGTATCATTTGGAGCTCTTTGATCTCCATTGTGCATGTAAGAGTTATTCCATTATAGAAACAGATGGCTATCCTACAAAGAGTCAAATAAAATATGGCAGCATGATTCCATTGATTGTATGGGAAACATCTGAAGAAGCATGAAGTTCGACAAAAATAATTTTTCAGTAAATGGATAGTCTGTTATTGTTCAACTGGGGAAGGGGGGGGAGGAAGCCAACATGATTAGAAGTTCTAAGAAGCATCTAAGAGATGCCTTTGACCTACATTATTCTTGCAAATCCCCAATGTATCTTCTGTTAATACAGTACAATTAAGGCCAACTGCAGCAGGACACTGCATCTTAAACAATGACAAGATCAATATGGGTTTCATTAGCAATTATGGTAGTTACTGGAGAAATTACTCATGGTTAACAAAGTAAGATAACGCAGTGATGGATTCTCATTTCGTGTGACAAGTGTAAGTCTGAAATATGGTAATTGTTAAATAAATTTAATTGGCTTCCAAAACAGAGAAGGAAAAAACCCCAATGAATTCTCTTGCGGCATTTTGCCAAATGTATTATTATATCGCAACAATTTATGGATTGTAGTTTTCTGCATCCAACAAAAGCTTATGCTATAATAAACATATAATAAACATTAATCTTTAAGTTGCCACAAGATGTGGTGGACATGTAAGATATCAAAAAAATTCTAGAAATTGGTTTACTTAATAATGCAAAAGATATTGAAATCTAATTTGCAAATGATACCTGAATTATTTCTGCTAAGCATAATTGACAAACAGAAAAGAACAAAGCAACACTTATTAGATACATGGCAACAGCGGCAAGACTTGTCTATGTGCAATATTGGAAGGTGAAGCAAGTACCAACAGTAGAGGAATGGCTACTCAGAGTTCTTGAAATGGCAGAACTCTCAGAGCTTCTAAAAGACAAAGGTCTAATGGACTTTAAAAAAACATAGAAACCCATATGAAACTTTATATTAGATAAAGAAAATATTGACCTAGGGGTGTGTAACTTTGAATCACAGAATTTCAGATAACAATATGTATAATTTAGATTTTGCATTTTTTTACTCTTTATTAGTTGTGTAACAAACTTTTTGATTATTATTAGCAATTAAGGAAAAAGTGATTCAAAGGAGAACTGAAAAATGCATGAGAAGATCCAAAGCATCATAGAGTGAAGAAACTATAAAATTGGTCAACCCTTGTGAAGCCCCTTTCCCGTTCCCCTCCCCCTACTCCCCTTTTTGTATTTTTGTTTCTTCTTCTTTTTTGCTCAGTACGTCTTTACTGTATCTCAAACTTAGTAAAATAAAATTTTAAAAAAGATAAAAGATGCCACAAATCTCTTTGATATTGTTGTAACAGACTAACATAATCTAGGAATTTCTAGAAAAAATAAGGAGTTTTTGCAGTTTTTAACATAGAACACGAAATGTAGAGAACAACATTTAGTCTGCTCAGCTTCTGGATGTTTACAATACAGTGGACCCTCTACTTATGGAATTAATCCGTATTGGAACGGTGGCTGCAGGTCAAAAAGTCTGTAGGTCGAGCCTCCATTGACCTACAATGCATTGAAAACCGATTAATGCCGTAACCGGCCATTTTTGTTCCATTTTGGTTTTTTTCTGGTCTGTAGGTCGATTCTCTGGCTGCAAGTCGAACCTAAATTTTGTGGCCAGAGAAGTCTGTAACTCAAAAAGTCTGTAAGTCGAGCCGTCTGTAAGTCGAGGGCCCACTGTAAACAATATATTTCAGCATTAGTATACAGTACTTGCTTTCATCCACATGCTTAGAGTGGAATATGTAGTCCTGCTACTCTCTGTCATTGCCTTTTACATATGTTGTTGACCAAGGAGAACGAAGATAAGAGACTCTGCTGATGTGTAGGCTCTCCACCTCAGTGAGAAACCCAAATTTCGAGGGTACACACAGCCATGTGAAGCCTACACACACGTTCCATTTCCTCATTGTTCTAAGTTATTGTGTGGAGAAAGTGATGATGCAGTGGGGAAATATTAAGTGCTCCTTAAGTATGCTGTTGAAAACTGGCATACTAATACCAGAACACAAAATTACTGTCTGGGATTATCAACATACTGTATTTGTGCAAATACTGATACTAATTTGCAAATGTTTATTGCAACACTCCCATACCTCTTGACATCAGCATAATCCTGAGAGATAACTGCTATTGTTCAACAGACTACAGCGCTAGAGAAAGCTGGATAATTACACAAAATGCTTGTCATTAGTTGGAAGATGGCCTTAGTCCTGTTTGTAGCTACATTGTGTTAGAAACAGCTCATTTGTGTCAAATATCTGAAACAGCATTTTCTATTCTGCTCTGCTTTCATTCCTGTTCCACTCCCTGCAAATCAGAAAGAGCTTTTTTCTTTCTTTTTTTATTTTCTTTTCTTTTACCAACTGAGACTTTTCTTCTGGCAAGGACACACACATCTGTCTCAGGGCTGTAGTTTAGATCATTTCCTGTCAGTAAGGTTTGCCTGTTGCTCTCTTGGCAGCTATGAAACTACCAGTTAGACTTTTTTTTGTCAAGTGAGCAAACAGACTGGTTTCTTCCACTCTCTGTAGATCCTGATTCTGGCCCCAAACAACTGAAACTGATATGTGAACCTGTTAAAATTGGAGCTCTGAGTGATCTTGCATTGTGTTGTTGCCAGAGTATTTCAGATGTAAATTGAACTGCACACCATCCCAAAGGAAACGGAGCAGTGTGAACTCTAATTAGAAAAACATCCCCGGTGCATAGGACAGACAATGACCTGTCTCATATAGTTGCAAATTCAAGGTGCACTGGAATGGGTACCTCCTATGAAGTGTCTGATCAAAGAAAAACTATAGATCTCAACTGGAGACGGCCTTCTCACTTGCATCTCTTCACAATTCTTTGCAACAGTCTTCTGGAAGCCAGATGTGAAAGGGCAATGTTGCTCCACATTCTAGGTCTTTTTTAGCTAGTGCCTTCCTGTTATACAGAGATTTGGAGTGACAGAAGAATTAAGACAGCTGCTGCTGCTATTTGCTATCAAGCCGCTTCTGACTTATGGCAACCCTGAGAACTTGAGACTTACAGAAGGTTTTGTCATTAACAACACTGCAGAGGTCTTGCAGGCTACAGGCCATGGCTTCCCTTATTCAGTCAACCTATCTCAGGCTGGGTCTTCCACCTTTTATGATATCTTCCACGTCTACTAACATTATTATCTTTTCCAACGAAACTTGCTGCATGTCATGATCCATTCCAATTATAATAGATTCAATTCAGGCATATTGATTTAATCTAGGGCCTATTTATTTGTGATCTGTCAGTTCACAATGCCCATGAAGCTCTTTTCCAGCAGCTAGAAGGATTACATATATGCTCCGTTTTTTTGGATGTACTTGTATTCTTAGTTTGACAGAGCGATTCTAACCTCATTGGATAAGCACGTAGAAGGTACCTCTTCGCCAGCAGGGGGAAAATAGCTATTTCCTTGTCCTCAGCAGTGTCAGGGGAAGACTACTGCTTTCTACTGTTGCTGGTATTTCCCTTGGTGGCAGGCAGTGACAGGCACTAAGATTAATCATTTTGGGGACAAGAAAAGGATCTCCTACAAGGCTTCTGTTATATGATTTCCCTGCCTATACCAGTCTCAGGCTATCATATATGATATCTGTGACAGAGAAAATTTTTCAAAGAGAAACTGGAGGGAAGAGTAGTTTTGAACAAAGTAGCCATGGTACTGTGTTTCAGCATGCATAACAAAAATGCAGAAGGGTTGTGACACTCTAAACACTAATAGATTTATGGTGCATGATAGTTAGACTACAGGTTTATATACACAGGGTCCATGGTAGAAGTGTGCGCGTCAAGTGAGATGATTTGCCATTGTATCAATTTTTGCTCCTAAAAGTGTCTCCAAGAGCAGTGTGCAAAGTACTAAATGTGGGAATTCTGAGTACATGTATTCTTCCTTTTCTGTGATCCTTGCAATTAAGGTGAGGGCTTTTTGGAAATTTTGAGTCCCCACTCCTGATAGTGGTCGGAGAAAAAATAGAGAGGTTATTTACCTGTAACTCTGGTTTTTCGAGTGGTCATCTGTGAATTCACACTATAGGGTTTATCTGCGCATGCTCAGAGGTTTCAGGAATACAGTGGTGCCTCGACTTATGATCTTAATCCGTATTGGAATGCTGTTTGTAAGTCGAAATGTTCGTAAGTCAAAGCACCATTTCCCATAGGAATGCATTGAAAACCGATTAACCCGTTCCAGCTGAAGAAAAAAATCACCAAAAAATTAAAAAGAACACAGGCAAGCCCGGTCGGAAGGCGCTCCACTGCTGAGGTTTAAGAAAAAGAAAAAAACTCCAGAAACAAACACTAAAGCCACCAACAACACAGCACAGAAACATACACGCCCCAGCCAAAACCCACCCATAACAGTTTTTTAAAAGGAGAAAACAGCAGCTTACCTCCCTGCAGACGCGCGCACACACACACTTACTCCGAAGCAGGAGGCTCTCCCAAGCCGCCGCCGCCACACTCTCTAACTGCTGAAGGTGAAAGAACTACAGTACAAAGCCTCGTTGCCACCTACAGTTAGAAATCTGAATTGCTCGCCTTTTTCCCCTGCCTTTTTTTCTGTTCATAAGTGGAAGCTCCCATTCGCAAGTCGAAGCAAAATGTTGTGACCGGAGCTGTTCGTAAGTCGAAATGTTCGTAAGTAGCGACATTCGTAAGTCGAGGCACCACTGTATTCTAGAAATGAGGTTCCGTTTCCGGTAGGGTGCGGCAGCAGCTTTCCCTCGCTTTTCTGCTCTTTTGTTTTTGTTCAACCCTTTTAATTTTTATATGTATGTAGTCTCTTTTTTAAACTACGCTTAACTCCCTTTAAATAGCTTCTAAATAGCTCTTGAAGAAGCTTTTGAAGCCAAGCATTTAGGGAGCCAAAACAACCTTTGGAATTTCTTGCTGTTTTTACCAACACTACAAGGAAAGGGGGAGAAGAAACAGCTGAACTGCTGACCTGCTGCTCTGAATTGTGTTACTCCTATCTATCCTCCCTCGAGTCAACAGAAAGAATTTATCTTAAGGCAGAGGTTGCCTTCTCCTTTGAGACAAAAGGCCACCAGGGAAGGCAAGCGAGGCAAAGATGCAGGTTCCTCTTTCTTACTAGAGCAAGTGCAAAACATGGCCAGAGATCTACAGTTTGCATTCTGGTGATCTCCCAAGCTCTTAGAAGCTAGTGGAAGCGTATTTGCCTTTACAACTTTGGGTGAAAGCCATACATCCTCACAGCCGCATTATCAAGCAAATATTCACAATCAAGCAGTGACTCCACAGTGCAAGAACATCAGGCGTGGTAAGCAAATGGAGTTTTCTGCTCTGCCTTCCCCTAGCTTTTTAAAAGTATTGCTGCAAAGTCTAAAGCAGAGTAAGACAGATTTGCTTTATTTCTGGACGAATGGGGATGAATGGGCCCTAAGGCAGACACTTGACTGTGGAATCTTCAAGTACTCCAAAGTAACTGAGTGCTGTCCTCTGAAGATGCTGGCCAAAGAGACTGGCGAAACGTATAACCTTCAGAACACGGCCAAAGAGCCCGAAAAACCCACAACAACCATTAACTGAGGGCCTGCCTGTTTTGTGGTTGTATCTGCACACTTACCCCTGGGTTTAAGTCAAGCAGCGACAGGATAATCAAACTGTGCCTGAGAGCAAAACCCATTCTCCAACTTTTAAACCTCCTCCAGAAAGCTGCTAGAAGATTGAAGAAGCCAGACCTTCTGACTGGACTATCTCACCAGAGCATAACTTTTTCAAATTCTGCCCTGCAAGATTCGGTTATGTACTTGAAATGCAAAAGGGAACAAAAAGAAGAAAAGCTCCCCAAGTGATATGAACAAAAACTGTGCCAGTACAGATAGAGCCCAGGGTTTAAAAGATCTCTGGATGCTGTCCAGAAATAAGCTTTTCAGCGTGATGACTAAAGTACAATATGGAAAACAGCTGGTGTAATTATAGGAATGTCTAGCCACCTGGAATAAATCAGACATATATCATAAGGAAATAAAGTCAACTGTGAACTTTGGCAAGGGTTAAGGGAGATTTTGCTTCAACTAATGGTAGCTTATCCCACAGTGGCTGAAATCCTGTTCATGGAGCTGCACTGTGTAATTCAGATGATGACATCAGTTGTGGCTTCTTTTTTTGGAAATTAAACATTCTGATTCCCCCACCCCACCCGTGCAAAATTCCTGAGGCTCCCATAGAATCCCCTTCATTACAGGCCAGCCACTGGGGGCCTTGGGATGAGTGGAGTTTTTAATTCCCAAAAGTAATTGCTGCCCAGATGACTTTCCTAGAGGTGATTTTCTGAAATCAATGACTCCTCTGTCTTGTGATCACCACTTTTCCATAATGAATGGGATTCCATGGGAATATTGGGACCTTGGGGAAGAATGGGGAATTATTTTTGAGTAGCCACCACAGCAGACGACTTCATCAGATTTATATAGTGTATCTTCATGGACAAGGTATCAGTCAGTGTTGCTGTGAAAACACCCACAAAAATACTGTGTAAGACATTTTTTTCTTTGCCCACCCTTGTCATCTACTACCATTTTTGCTCAATCCAATTCATTGGCTCTAATTTAATGCCCTATTGTTGCACACACACACTATGTCTCCATCTAGCGAGATCTTCTAGGGTCAATACTGCCAGTGCTTTTTTTCGGGGGGGTGCACTGGAAATTTATGGCATTTAAAAGATGTTATGATGTGCAGTGTGGAAAGTGTCAAGAGACTTCAATGGGTCCAAAATGCAGCAGCCAGATTGCTAACTGCGGCTAGACAAAGGGATCACATAACCTCCCTGTTATAGCAGCTCCACTGGCTGCCAGTCCTTTTCCCAGCAGAATTCAAAGTGTTGATTCTAACTTATAAAGCTCTAAATGCATCTCTCTTGATAAGCCTGTTCAAGTGTTAGGACCATCAAAAGAGGCACAGGTGTGTTTGATGGTTACATGAAAGTCTGCTGCTCCCAGACTTTGGAACTCCCTCCCACAGGAGGCTAGGCTAACCCATCTTTACTGCCTTTCTGCAAGCAGGTGAAGACCGTTCTCTTCAAGCAAGCTTTCCCTGAGTGATTGGCTGCCTGAATGGGGTTTTCAGATGGATTGTTGTACTTTACTGCTTTGCATCTGTTTTGGTGTTGCTTTTGTTTAGTGTTTTTTAGTATGGTATTTGATCCTATTTGGTATTTCTATACTTACTGTTTTTAGCTTTAAATATTGTCTTTTACATATATGAACCTTGGGTCCTTTTAAGGAGAAAGGTATTTGTACAGTCTATGGCAGTGGTGACTAACCTTTTTGGGCTCACGTGCCCAAACTGGGAAAAAAACAAAACAGGGGGCGGTGTGCTGCGGCGGAACCGGAAGTGGCAGTGGAAGGGGGAATCCTGGGCATGGAGGTGCCTTGATACCTCACTTTGGATCCGCTGCCAGTACCAGCTGCTCCGGATCCTAACCCGCCACCTGTCTGGGCACCAGCACTGCAGTTGCAGCCGCCTGCTCAGGTTTGGCTGCGGGGGGGGGAGGAGCAATCCAGCGACTTATGGCTTGCGTGACAGCAGAAAGGGCTCCATGTACCAGATGTGGCACGCGTGCCATAGGTTCGCCATCGCTGGTCTATGATATCTGTAAAGTTCTCCTCCAACACCACAAATTATCAATTTTTACTTCTTAAATTTCTTCAGTTCCAGATTTCACATCCATACAGGACAGGGATATGGATGATACTGATCACCAGGGATACATAATTTTCCCCCAAGTTCCTTGGTAGCTGCTCCTTTAAGTCTTAGAATTCTCAATACTTGGCTGAAGTTTCCATTTTCACTGATAATTAGAACTGAGGCACAGAAAATCTTTTAACTGTTTATACAGCTTCACTGTCAATATTGAAGACTGCCTAGAGTGGTCTTTTAGACCAGATTGGTGGGGTATAAATAAAAATAAAATAAAAATAAAACATTAAAACTGTGTAATCCTTTGGTAGCCATGATTTTTGTCTTCTGAATATTCAGCTGTTATACTGTTTTTGCAATTTCTTCTTTAATCTTCTTCAATAGTTGTTTCAAGTGCCTGCCCACCCCCCACCCCAGAATGGTGAGATGATATGCCCTCCAGCTTAATCTATAGGACCTCCCTGGCTAGAGCACAATAGAGGGAAGGGGAATATTACTTTTCTGGACTACAGCTTTCAGAATGGCCAGTGGTCTCATTCACTAGAGCTGTAGTCTGAACAGTGTTTCCAAGTAACTCTGAGATGGTTGAAGAAAGGCAAGAATGAGTCTAACTCATCTTGGAGTTTGCTTGAATGAAGGCTTGTCAGTTTCTCTACATCAAATCGAGGTATCTGGATAAATATAACAGAGCTAAAAAAAATCTAGCCAACGTATTAAAAAGGCTTGATTTCAAGTCCTGTGTATGTGAGCAATTTTACCTTCAAAGTGCTAAAGGCTATAGTATGTGGCGAATGATTTAATTCGTGGTCTATCTGAGTCTCAACCCAAGAAGCAGGTCAGAGATGAAGTGTTCATTGTGATATTGATAATATTTTCAATTCATGTGAACCAAAACAAAGCCTAACAGGGTTGTTTGATACTCTTGTTTTTATTGAGGATGCAATGCAGAACATGTTCCCCAATGTGTGATGTTCTAAGAAAACAAGTAATTATGGAAAGCAGAATATCTGAAACACACAAGGAGAAAACATTTTCTCATTTTTAAAGCTATACGTATTGTGACGGGGAAAGTTGCTTAAATAACACCTTATTTTCACATTTTCTACCCCACATTTCTGGTAGCTCTCTTAAGACAATTTACTTCAGAATGAAAGTTCAATCGTATGTTCAGTTCAGTCTTTACGCATTAGTGGAGCATCATAGAAATTCCCTTGAAACTCTAATGAGTTATCAACTCTGCAGAATCTCTGCATTGTAATATACTCAGTGAAGTGGAATAAACATCCTTATTATATGTGTCATTTTAGTTCCCACAGGCTGTTTCCCCTTACCCCACTGTGACACATGTCACAGTATCAGGCTTTGTTTTACTAAGTGGCTCAGGCATTCACAGAGACTCACAAATCTTTGGACTCTGTGTATAGTCTTGATGACTGTGTGGTTTCAATGAACTTTTAGTTTGATGCACCAGAGT